AAAGTGAGAGAGAGAGTACCTATGTGCGACGTTCTTTGTAAGCACGACACCTTGCACGAGGCAGCTGTCGGCTGCGGAACCTCCGGGCACCTTCTTCACTTGCACGTAATTACGCACGTCGATGTCATTGCTGTACATATCTGAAAATATATTTACACTAAAGTGTTGCCACTATATTAACATACAAAAATATTAACGAGATGTTCCAGTGTGGCTTCATACGCATTACAAAATTTTTTTTTTGTTGTTTACCAATGTCAAAACTTAAATGCACAAAACAACAGCCAACATTGGATAACCATTACCGTTACCATAAAATGGCTTCTTTGATGTTGTCAGCTTTTGTCCCTTTTCTAAAAGACGGTTTTTCTCACTTACTCCCAAAGTTTAATAGCGTGAAAATGTATAGCCTAAAGCGTGATATAAGTGTAGGACTTTTTATTACAAGGAGAATTATACAAAAACATACTGTGATTCTTGACATCGTGGAATTAAATAAAACACAAAAGTAAATAGCCTATGTATTCCAGACTATCCATCTAAAATTTCGCATTCATAATATTAATAAGAAGTATAGCGAAAGAAGAAGAAAGAGGTGCGTGGAGGGTACCGGGGGTGATGATGTCTGCGGCCTGGTGGCAGAGCGGCAGCAGCACGTGCAGCCAGGCGGGCGGCAGCGCGGCGCGCGCCAGGCACTGCCGCAGCAGCAGCGCCAGGTGCTCCGCCCCCGACTGCTCCACGTGCCGGCACAGCGACACGCTCTCCACACCTGCACCACACATTCCTCGTTGACCCCCTTTTGTGTACTTTACAATGCTAGAGCTTTAACGTCTCCGAAAAGACCAGATATGCGGCAATTGTGAGTATTTCTGTGTAGTCTAATAGTGGTGCAGACTTAATTTTGGCCATCTTTCCCTTTCAGCCATTTTAAGGAGAGGATAAGAAGGGAAACTAGATTTGACGGTGGAGGAGACGCATAAGAAGGGAAAATATACTATTTATGTGTCTCCTAGACAACAACTCCTTGAATTGAATTGATTGACGTCCTCAATTGCATTGAGGACGTCAATGACCAGATCGCTTTGCTATTTTGGCAAAATCAGAAGGCCGCTTGTTCATTTGCCACATTATGTAATAAAAATCTTCGTAGACCCTCCAGTTTTCTATTAAAATAATATTGCTAGTACTTTAATATCGTCGCACGAATGTACTGGCTTCAGCAATACCATAAGACGCAGAAGTGGAAGTAATTCCGTGTGCCCTCGGATAAGTATGTTTTATTCCCCTTTCATTTTTCATACAATGAATGGATTAGTAGGGGATGTGACGCATAGGTAGAGGAAATCTCCTTTCTGTTTATTCTATTGATTAAAGGCAAAGTACGCAAATTCGGATGTATATACATCCTCAAGAGACTTCTGACCATATGGTCAGAGGTCCGTTTGATAATTTGATAAATCCCAGTGTAAACCAACCTTCACTTTGATCCAATATCGGATGCTCTTCTTCACTAGAAGGCGAGGATTTGCTCTCTGAAAAAACAAAAAGGACAATTAAGTACAAATACAACAAATTAATAATGTAACAAACATTTACTGCAACCAGTAGTTTTTACGTACAAAACTAGATGGCGCCACCTGTATTTTAAAACACGATGTTGTATCACATGCGCCTTAGGTTAAGTTATTTCATGTACATTCGCAAATCGGAGAAGAGAGAAGATCAGAGAGAGAAGTAAAGGGAAAACAATTACTGTCTTCTCCACTATAGTTCCTACGACGCGATTCTGAGTATATTAGCTTGCTGTCTTGTGACTAATTTTACTCAGAA